TTTTTTTTTCTTTTCAATTTGATAAAAATCTATTGAAATACATTGATCATTATTTTTCCATACCAAAATACTATGATCGACGTGAATCGAGTGTAGCATAATCCTTATATCTAAAATAAAAATATATAGTTAAGATCTAGAGGATGGGTGTGGGTGTAGTCACGATAGAAAATGAACTAAACACCTAAACTCACACCCACACACATCCTTTTTGATATTTCTATAGCAGCTCTGACAGAAGTGAAACCAACATCCGAGCCGTGATACATTCGGCAACTATATAAATGAATAGAAAAAGTTAATTTAAGATAAATTCAATTTAATTGTTCAACATTATATTAAAGAAAATATTTACTGTATTTGTTACTGCACGTTACCAAGCATCTTCATAATTAGGTACAATTGTATTAACTGCAAAACCCTTTCCTCGACTTGCTGCTAAATTAATAATAATTCGAATTATTTCCTCATACGTTTTTCTTTTACGATTCGATGTAAAAGCATATAATGCTGGCAACACTAAATAGAGAAAGAAAAAAAATAGTTGTTTATTGCAAATATACTTTGATTTCCAACCAAACATTGAATGATATAGACTAGTCTGAATTTATTTGGACAAGTCTTAAAAGCACCATCACAAAACCATATCGAACTGTTCAACAGTAGCTCTGTCTGTTGATGAAAACTAAGTATAATTAGACGTCCACCAACACGGTTCTTCTGTACATCAGCTAAAATAAATTGATCACCTAACCACGTATGTTTATAAAGCGGTGGAATTTCAAAACTTAAAGAAGTTGGAAGCATTGTTTCTAATAGCAAGTGTACCAAGCATAATCGAAATGTACAGAACACTTGCTCCTCTTGAAATACACGCTGCAATACACTTGCCCCAAAAAGTAGAGTGTACGATATACACTTTATTTATTAAAATAACACCTTGCTTCTAATTCTGAGAATTTTCAGGAATTATCATTCGTATCTTGGATAGATAATTGTAATTGCATTTATTGTGTATTTATTCATCTACTATTGTTTAATTGTTCTACGAAAAAAAGACATGAACATTCTTCTAATTTTCACTTCTTTATTTTGTATTAAACGTCAAGTGTGTACATTTTGTTTTAGATTTTCATTAGAAACCATGCTTAGTAATATGATTTTTATAATATTCATACTGCTCAACACTATGAAGTTATTAATTAATAATAAATTAATTTAAAATTTAATAAATAATTGGTCCGAAAGTTTCGGCCGAAATTCTGGTCTCCCAAAAATTCTCTAATTAATTAATTTATTTTTAAACAATAATATTCAATTATTATGTTTTTATATTCCTTGAAAATAATAAATAACATTTATCTATCAATATATGATTTTTAATAAAAATAGAAAATAATATTATTTTAATTTTCTCATAGAAATAGTTCAATTTAACAATAATTAATCTAAAGAATATATTTCAATAAAGAAAATATAAAATTTTTTCATTTGAAATTGAAATGAATTCAATTTGATAAAGAAATTATAAAATATTTATTTTAATTTCTTTGAAAAATAAAACAAATCTCTTTGATATCAAAAATGAAATTTAAATTATGGATCATTTCATAACTTGTAGTAGTGTTTTATTTTATTTCAATCTCTTGTTCATTTTTCTTTCGAAATTCTTGTTTTTGCTTTTCATCTAAATGAAAATGTTCATTGATTTATTTTGAAATTTGAAATAAAATTTCTTTTTACTGATCTCATTTTGACGAATCAATCTTCAATTCAATTTTTATAATGAAATTTTCTAAAACACAAAATCTTCTTTGTAAAGAATTTATATTTCAATTCAAATTATAAAATATTTTCTTTTCTTGTCTTCTATAAAATTCGACAAATATTAACAAAAGATGAAGAATTTAACATTTATGAAATCCATTTTTTTCATAGATTTTCAATAACAAAAATTTATTTTCTTTGTTTCAAAATTAAAATTTCGTTCATAAACTTACTTCAAATTTTTCAATTCGGTGATTATAATAATCAGCAACATAAAGATTTCCTTCATCATCAAATGATAAACCAGCGGGACCATATAATTGATTTAATTGATTACCTTGACCATTTCCACCAACAACAATTTCACCTTCTCCTTTTTCTTCACACCAACGCATTACTCGATTATTCTGATAATCTGCCACGTAGATTTGACTCAAATCGTCAACAATCACTCCTTGAGGTAAAGATAGTTGATTGAGATCTTCTCCTTCACCATTTCCTCCAGCCACGACTATTCCTTCTTTTGGATCTTTTCTCCATTTCATCACACGTTTATTGTCGCTATCTGATACATAAACAGATTGATCTTCATCAACAAAGATAAAAGTAGGAGAATTCAATTGATTGAGTGCATTTCCTTGTCCATTTCCACCTACCACTACAATTCCTTCGTTGTTGTATTCACCCATTTTCCATCGTCTCACTTCATTCTTCATATAATCAGAAACATAAAAAAATCCATATTTATCCATTGCCAAGCCACGACAGTCAATATTTTCAATAAGAATCTGTTGCTTTTGATTCATCCATTGAATCACTCGTCTGTTCCAATGATCAGCAATGATGATCGAATGATTTTGTGGATCAAGAATCATATCTGTTGGACCATTCAATTAATCCATTCCACCTGCAATGATTTGTCCTTGTTTTGCATTATATTTCGATTCAACAATACGATCATTATATGAATCGGCGATGAAAATATTTTTCTTATCATCAATAAAGATTTCTTCAGGGTACTTGAGTTGATTCAATTGTTGTCATGGTCCATTTCCACCAGTCACAGTGATGGCATATTGTTTCCATTTAAGATTGATTTTATCTAAAACAGATCAGATTTATAGTTTCAAATATCCTGAGAGTGTGGATAAAAATGTTGTATCTATCATTCACTGATTCACTCACTTTTCATTGGTGGATAGTAACTTTCATGGATTATTGCAGTTGGTTAACAAAGAGGACGATCATCGCATTGAGGATGTTGAACACAGATTGTATTCGGTTGAAGACACGAATTGTCTGAAGAATTACACCGTAAAAGTCAAGAACATGTTGGCCATAGAAAACCACAAACGCCTGTATCATCATTACTACTTATCATATGAATGCATCCACATGCAATGTTTTGTTGAGCATTCACCATATTGAGGTGTTTTCTCACATATTTGAGATTTGATTTGAACTGTGAAAGTGGTAAACTAATACATACAAACATAAAACAGAATAAAAAATCAAACCTGTTATGCTAAAATATGAAATCAATGAATGTTAACAAAATAACTGATAAAAATCAATAATTATTTACCTGAGAATAATGAAAACGACATAGCAGTAAATATTGATTGTATTCATAGTTGATTTTAAAATAAGAGAATATGATGAAAAAATGTATGTTTTCATTTCTAAAACATAGATAATATCTTAAGTCAATTTAATTGAAATATAAAAGATGCATCTATTCACATATCAATAATTGGAAATTTAATATTCCATTC